TGGCTGGGTGTGATCGGGAGGATGGGGAAGTCCCTTAGATGACTACAGAGGGCCTGTCAGGCAGCGCTTGGCATTCTTCCACGCCTGTACGTGCAGCAGGCACGGTGGCGGATACAGAGAGGGCGCTGCATAAGACGACATATGGCCATACACACAGTTTACATGTTATGCAGATGTGTGTGCATTTGTCCATGTGTATAGATGAATATATGTATGTATGGATGCAGGTATGTGTGTATGTTTGTATACGTGTGTATGTATGAAAAGTTGTATGAATATGTATTTACATGAATGTATGTATGTATAGAAATGTATGTGTGTATGTATGTACTGCATGTATGTATGTATGTATGCATGTGTGTTTGTTTGTATGTATGTATGTATGTATGTATGTATGTAGGAAAGTATGAGTGTGTGTATGGGCGTATGCATGGTTGCATGAGTGTATGCATGCATGTAACTATGTATGTAGTTACGGGCATGTGTATGTAACTGTTGTATGCGTGTATGTATATATGCATGCATGCATGCAGGTATGCACGTATGTATGTATGTATGTATGTATGCATGTATGTATGTATGTATGTATGTATGTATGTATGTGTGTGTGTATGTATGTATGTATGTATGTATGTATGTATGTATGTATGTATGTGTGTAACTTTACGCATGTATGTATGTATGTATGTAGGCAGACAGGCAGGTATGTATGCATGTAATACGGTGTACGTATGCATGTATGTATGTATGTATGCATGCATGTATATATGTGTGTATGTGTGTACATGTATATGTAGATGTAGATGTATATGTAGATGTAGATGTATAGGTGTATGTGTATGTGTATGTGCATGTGCATGTGTATGTGTGTGTATGTATGGATGTATGTATGGATGTATGTATATGTATATGTATATATATATATATATATGTATGTGGAACTGTAAATGTACATGTGCATGCATATGTATATGTAGCTGTATGCATGCATGTATGAATGTATGTATGTTTGCATGTATGCATGCATATATGTATGTGTCTATGGATGTATGTATGTATGTATGTATGTATGTATGTATGTATGTATGCATGAATGTGTATTCCCATTCATATTTCTCTCTCTCTCTCTCTCTGTATATATATATATATATGTATATATATATATATATATATATATATATAATGGCCGGGGACGCTGGAAAAAGCGCCCCCCCGAACGAATTTGGCCCTCCCCGGTCCTCTGGGCAACCCTTCAGACGACCCCGGAGAACCTCACGAGAGCCCGAAGACGGCCCTATACGGGTTTCAGGCCTTCGGCGCGCTCCCGAAACGACCCCAGAGAGCCCCAATACGGTCCACGATGACCTCCAAGAAGCGGTCATACCCCCAAAGATCGCTCCGAAACGTCCCAAGAGGCCTCCAAGAGCACTCCCAAGAAGGCCCCAAGAGGCACAACTCATTGATTTTCTGCGGTTTCTTGGTGAATTTCGGGGTTCTCTTCTCGGCTTCCCGACGCTCCAAGACGGCGGTTTTCTGGGCATCCGAAGCCGCCTGGGAAGCTCCAACATCGTCCCACAACCATCCGAAAAGAGTTTCCAGGCAGTCCAAGAGAGCCCCAAAACGGCACAACAGGGGTCCAAGATGGCCCTGAGAGAGCCCCATGGCAGCTCAAGATGGCCCCAAGACACCCTCCGAAGCATTCCAAATCGTAACCTGGTCGTTCAGGGAGACCGCGGTTGGAGGCAGGGTGACCCGAGAGCGCCTCCAGAGGCCCCCAGAACACGCCCAGGAGGCCTCCAGAAGGCCTTGAGAAAGCCTGAACAACTTTTGTGAGGCTCCTAAAGACTCTCCAAGGAGGAGCCTCCGCAAAAAGAGCTGAGAAAGATAGGGAGAATGCGCAGGGTATGGCGAGAATGAGGAAAGAGAAGCATGGAGGAAGGATAACGAATTACACTACTATAACGGTGATGCTGGCAAAGTCAACAAGGAGTTATCGCTAAATTGTCGGTTTGACCTTCCTGCCATTCCGCCTGCATACCAAACTTCAAAGACCGAGGTGCATGGTGCGAAGCGCCACTGCAGTCTTGTTGTGTATGTGTGTATATATGTATATGTGTGTATATATATATACATATTCCTTTTCCCTATCAAATGATAAGGGACCCCCCCCCCCCGGATGGGCGTCACCTAATTCGCCACCCCCCCGGACGGGCTCAAGACAACCCCGAGAATGCTTGAAATTACCGCCAAGCTGGTCCGACCGGCCCCAGAAGCCTTCCAAGACGCCCACAGATCGCTCTAATATGCCCCAGTTCGTCACAAGACGGCCGAAGAGGCCTCCAAGACGCCCCACACGGCCCCAACCGCCGCGAGGTACACGCCGACGCCCGCTTAGGACAGCCACGGCGCATAGCGCTGCGCCGCGCGGGGGGACGCGCGACGCCTACGTTCGAAAAACATCTCCGCGCGCCGGCCGGCCGGCCGGTCACGCTCTCAAAAA